ACTTACATTTTTCATGTACCAACATTGCCAAAATCCATTTGCGATAAAACAATGGCGAAAAAGCGTTGATCTCTCCCCAAAACCATGTTTTTTGGCGTCAAAACAACATTTCCCCATACATTTTCTTCTAGCTACTTGCAATGTTTGCCCCCTGACGATCCCAGAGTTCTTTGCGCAAACATGGGTATCCGATTACTGGCAACTCATTCATTGCGGACACAGTTCTGGTGAATGGCACTGAAATCTGACTAAAATCGATACTTTCACTTCGCAGGCGAGTCGAATGACAATCAGTAAACTTGCGAGTGACGTGGCCGAGAACCACTGGGAAACAAAAGGAATGAAACACGCTCTACAGGCCGAGAGGGACTATAACCTAATGACCACACAAAAACTGGAAAGACTCAAGGTACAAAATTCTTACTCACTGGGGTGGACTGTTCGTCATTTCGCCCCAGCCTGTAAAACAGGGCAATGTCGTGGACTCCGGTAGATTCAGCTCGTTTAACCGAGGTTTTGTCCATTTATACATTTTACAGTTTACATTTATTCTGCCTGTTTCTCTTTTAGACTGCCTTTTACTTAACTCTCATTTCTTTATTACCTTTTGTATATGTATGAGAGAGTTAGCATAAACTCATTATTGTCGTATCTTGGTTCTTTCTCTGTAGGAATCGACAGCGCGACAAATGGAAGGTTTAGCAATTGAGCTGGATACGTTGCGTCGTTCAGCTCACAGATGACAGCATTTTACATCTTGAAAATCAGCGTCTTAACACGGCCAGAAGTTTATTCACAATAATAGTAAACAACTCTGCTCAACACACTCGCTCATGTGTCAGTAATGCCACGGACAGACTGTGTGGATGTTTTCTTTCCCAAGAAACTTTCAATGCGAACGTCACGCAAGACCCAGTTAAATGCGCTTTCGAGTAACGTTGCACAAGTAGTCACGCATCACGCCTCAGATTTTAACTGGGAATAAAACAGGTACAGTGTAGTCCTATAAGCCCTTTGCACGATCCGGTCACATGGTGCAAAATCACACATGCTGGGATGCAAGTTGCACAGTGGGACTTCCAAACCAAAGGCAGGTCCAGGTGGACTGGTACGAGTTGCTTTGTTTTGGAAGTCCCACTGTGCAACTTGCGTCCCAGCATGTATGATCTTGCACCACGTGACCGGATCATACAAAGGGCCTATTACAAAGGCCCAGCAGTGTATAGCTAATACGTCAGGCATTGTTCGCCAATTGGTAATTTTTGGGTTGTACATATATTTATTTGGGTTACAGTGTAAAATGAACTTTGTACAGTTTTGTAAATAAGTATGACTTACAGACGCCCTTTTAAACGGGTCAGCGGTGTTTGAACAATTTAGCTTAAAAGGTCGCTTCAAATCTAAAACGGGTTCTGCTCACCGCTTGAGAATATGTTGTCTTTACTATATAAATAAGTATTTATTAATGTTAAAATGTAAAGGAAATATAATAGACTAATTAGGATAAAGAAACGAGAGCTCAAACGAGCTAAACTTCGTCAGGCAATTTTCAAGTTCCTCTACTATACTCATAAAAGCAAATCCTTGCACAAAACCTTTCATGAGAAATTCTTTTTACGCACGAGGTTATTTTCATGCAAATGAAGTACACTTTCCCTTGAAAGGAGTTTCACATCTTGTTTCATCTTAGGCGAAAAAAGCTTTGCTTCATATGTATTTGTGTTTGACCCCATTTCTAAAAATGAAAATACGACGCGCAGGGGAGTATTTTTGACGAATTTCGAGGTGTTTGGAAATGTGGTCAAACACTGTCTTGAGTGGTTGATATATCGCCTCAATCGAAACTAAAACTAAGGAGAAAACGGAGAAATAAAAGCGTAAAAAATCAGTGCTAATTAAGATCAGACATTCAGTTTGACAAGATGTTTTAAAGCATTTTTTTAAAGCATGACTTTTCAGTGAGGTCCAATCTTTGTGTATTTGTAAACTTCTGTCAGGAACCTGAGCACCTGTCGCTCCATGTACTGAACACAACAATATTTATTACATTATTTACAAACGCACAGAGAATTAAACTACTGTAGTGGAAATCCTTTGTATTTTGTGCTGACGGTGAAGTTCTGTCTCCTTATGTACAGTTTTTTTGCTCAGCCAAAAACAAGACCAAAACCACCCTTCTATCAATTTCGCAATCTCGTGAATCAAGAGAGAACGTCTCAAACGAGAAAATCTCGCCCCCCCCCCCCGCCCACTTTCCGTATCCAATGGGTCGTTTCCGAGTTACCCTGTGCCTCTGTTTCAAAACGAGTCCGTGCAAAACCTTTCATATGTAAATGCGTTTGATTTGCATGAAAATGAACATGTAGGAGGAATTCATTTTCATATGAATGGTTTCCAACGAAGACTCGTTTTGACACAGAGGCAAAAGCCAACTCGGAGATGGCCTATTTCTTACAAGGTGAAAGTTCGTGCCTTCTATCCTGAATACAGCCGAAAACCTCTCCAAACGTTGCGGAAAGAATCAGGTGTATTTCTGACACATTTTCAGACCGGTGAAAAAAAAATCGAATTTTATTTTACATTATATACATCGAGATCAAAATGTTTTCTATAAGTACTTACGAGCGAGTGATAAGCTCGGCGATATTAACTACGACACTCAATGCGCCAAGAACTCAGGGCTTGTATATTTTATACAACGGACCATTTTAACGTGAACGACATTGAACTTTCGTATTTGGATAGAAGCGCGGGAAAACACGCGCACTTTGAATTTTGCCTTGTAACTTGATTGGTCGAGAACACGTCATCTGCCCTCTGATTGGTTAAAGAACATTCCACGAATCTTCGAGCCAAACAAGAATTTTGAAAACGCGAAGACAAAACAGACAAATTCTGAAGTCAACTAAAAAAAACGTCCATGACGTTAATCAATGCTCGTGAGTCTATGCTAAAGCCTTTGATACAACGAAGCCTCAGGCGAGTCCGCGCTCATGAGTCGGCCTGGTATGTGCATCAGATCCACGATGTAACGTTTAGGAGGAAACCTGGACTGACCGTCTTTGGCTTCTTCACAAAGCATCACCTCGTTCCAGGCCCTGTTATACTCTCCTCGAACCAACGAGCAGCTTACTGCAATGCGATCAGCTAGAGCCTGGAAACAAGAAACGAAAGACAAAAATTCTTACCGGCCTTGAAAATCTCTGTCACCTAAACTGGTAAGCCTGAGAGCGGTCTGACGCGTTTTATTTTATTTATTTTTAATGTGACTTAACTTTTTTGCCTTTGGGAAAGAAATGGCAGCTAAAGTGGGAGTCATTTCAAGTAGTAATTGATAAAATTGCCTTGTTCCATGGTTTTTTTTGATTTCTCAATTAAATGTGACGGCTTTTTAACGTAAGAAAGAAGAAAGAAGACGGAAAACATCTAGGATCAGGGTCCTTGGAGAAACGTTACTGAGACGTTTGTACGGGGTTTAATAACGATCGTAAATGTTGATGAAAACAATGGAAATTTTAAACGTGCACAAGCATGGTGCCTTACAAAGGTGTCTGGAGTGGCGACCATCTTGAATATTTAGTTCAATGTTCGGAAAAAAGTTAATAGTCGTTCAGATATCTTCGTTACGCGTTCGGGTTTCCCGAAGACACGATTAAAATTGAAAACTCGCGAGTACTTCTCGAATATTTACTGCCTTGCGCAGCGACTGATAATGATCTAAAACTGAAACATCTAAATTACCTTGAAAAGTAGCGCCCTGTGATAAAAGATCCCAGTTTGAATCTTGCCGATGGGGATGATATTGGAGTTGAGCTCACACTTCAGTTGACCGATTGGTAATTCATAGCTGAACGTGGACAGCGACTCCCTGTCGACAGCTCCACCCATCTTATCACTGACAAAACTGGCAACAAAAACAAAACACATATCAGTATGCTCCCCGGGCCCGGGGAGAAAAATTGGGTGGGGGTGTGCGGCCCGCTTCCCAAACCCCTTACCCTAATTATGACCAAGATCTGAATGACCAAACCTGAAAAATGACACACTTTTCAAGGGGACAAACAAAAACTTAGAATGGCGTGAATGGATTAACTTTATTTCGTTTCTGTAACATTGGAAACTAACATCAAGCATAGAATTTGCTTTTCGTTTAGCTGGGCATTTATGCACCGCAATGTTAGCTGATAAAATTTAGGTACCCTATCGAAGAATCACACCAGGAACACAATGCCAACAGGGGCAAAAATGATATTCCAAGGATCTCAAAAACCCTACCCTATCCTGTAGAACATGTCTATGTAGCCAATATCTGGGAGTACCCCCGCGGGAATATGCGAAGCTTTTCATTATCTATGATGAAAATCACATGTCATTTATTTACCTTGCAAGAGCCTCTACTTGTTGGCTGGTCGTAGCAAGTGGCTGGATATTGCTCCGTACCTCCTCGATGTAGCCTTGAAGTACCTCATCCGTCGGGGGCTGCCAAGTAGGCACCACATCTTGTTGCGTGGTTGAGACCTCGGATAAAGCGGCCTCTTCTTCCCTTTGTTTCTGCTCTTCTCGTTCACGCATGATCTTACTTTTGCTAAGACGGAGAAAAGACAGATATTCAATGAGTGAGTGGGGAGGAGTGAATCGCGCCTTACTGTCGTCGAAGTTTTGATTGATTTTCGAAACTGGGTTGGTTTTCCAAATTTTTAAAATACAGCCAATAAGAGAACCGCGTGTGAAATGTATCGTCACGTGGTTATGTGGACGTCTCCTCCACCCAGACTAACTTGCTTTGTGATTGGCCAAGCAATGGGACAACCAACATAAAGACGTAAAAGAAAACATTGCAAAGTATTAAACGTCGCAGCGTGCTTCACAGTCACTTTAACTGAGTAAGGGATGTACCTTCTCAAGTCTTTGTGTGATTTGGTTCCCTTTCCTAATCTCTCCGTGCTTTTCTCTGGCTCCTTGGGAACAAGTAGGACAGGAGAAGGGGTTTTCCTGAGATCAAAGAGAAAAGTAACGTAGTCATAACCAAGAGTGGAGGGAGTAAGAGTAAGAGAGTTGATCTCTGTCATCCTCTTATGGAGTTTCCTAGAAACGAGATTCAAGCAAAGCAGATAACTTCTCGTTTTAATAAGTCTTAATGACCTAAAAGGTTACTGAACACTTTTCCATTAAATCAGAACTGTGAACTTGTCTCGTAACCAAGAACCTTCACTCTTCTAGACTTCCAGTCGTTTCGATTACTGTGATTCAGCTGGCAAGTAGCCCAGGCTCTGAGCTGCCTTACCTGTCCGCGTTCTTGGAGTTTAAAAGGATAATGGGTCGATGTGCGTCTGTAGGCAGGGGACTAAGTTCCTCAAGCGTCAGGAACTTGCTATCAGGCCGCATCTGAACAAGAACCAACCACAAGTTAATTGTTGTTGCTGATTTTGTACCTGTTGTCGTACAATATTGGGCCACAGATGTTATCGCCTACGTAAGTTTTCCTCTCATTTTTCACTCAATGAATTAATTTAGATAGCTCACCGCTAGGCCATTCCGCAAATATCACGTAAAATTCCGGAAATTCTCAAAAAAAAATTTAATATCACAATTTTTTTAAATAAGTCGAAAAACCGTCTAAATATCTCTTATTTTTTGTTTTAAAAATAAACAATGTTGAATCACTTAAGCTAAAATTCCCAACTTTTCTTGCAATAGTAGGAGTTGTAGCCTGCGAACGCAGACGTATTTCCGGCTGTCGCTTGTCTCCGCCGAAAATAACGTCTGCGAACCCGAGCCAGGAAACGATTTCTGTGACGTAGGAATTTTAAGCCAATCACAGTTTAGCTCAAGTAGCCCCAGAACTACTGCGCGAGGTATTCGCTGCGAGGGAGCACTCGAGTTTCATTCCATCATGGAGTCTGATTGGCCAAGGAGAAACAAAAGTCATTACGTCACAGAAATCGTTTCCTGGCTCGGGTTCGCAAACGTTATTTTCGGCAGAGACAGGCGACAGCCGGAAATACGTCTGCGTTCGCAGGCTATAGGAGTTGTGAAGGACGATACAGTGACTTCCATGCTACCTGCATCCTCCATGCTTTAGCGATTTTAGTGGAAAATCACTGAAATGGATTGTTGCTGGCATAGAACTGCGTACTGTTTCAAGAAAATTGCGAGGAAAAAAAGCGCTAAGCCCCAAAAAGCCACGAATTTTTTCTAAATATCCCAGAATTTTCCAAATATCTTATATTTTCTAAACATCTCTGAAACTTCTAAATCTCCCCAAAAAATATCTGGATAGTTGTGGACAGGCCTACTCGCCGCTGGTCAGAAGGAACTGGTACAAATGACCGTGAATAGTGCCATGGGTTTTTAACAAAGTCAGTAAGCCACCAAACTACATGGCGCCTATCATTAGTAATTCGGTTTCTGATTATTATAGTTTTCCTAGTTGAGGGACTGGAAACAGGAGAATAAGCAAATGCTAAGGAAATTCCTGACCATCACACATGAGTTCATAACGAAAAATAAAAGGAGTACGTTCCTCTGGAGGTAGTTCGCAATTTCAGAACATTTTCCGGAAAATTACTGTTTGGTGGGACTTTCAACCGAAATTTCCACATTTTTTTAGTCAAATGATAACACACTTAGTAATGAATAAGTTTCACTGCATGCACTAAGAGATTTCCCCCTAGCCTAAATCTAAAATTAATAACACGGGACCTAACATGAAAGATCGTTTACAAAAAGTGTACAGGTTTGAAATTACTATAAAGAAGTATTTAATGACGGGTCTGAACGTGTCGCCTTACCGGTCCACAGTCATAAAAGCCATCCTGAATGATGTTGTTAGAACTCAGTGAGCCTGTCATAGCATACTTAGCAGGTAAGTTACTATCTAGAAGGCATTCCATAGCAGCTTTTGCGAAGCCAGACTGACGAGAATTAGACAAGGAAATCTCTCCAAGAATATCTAAACCGCTGCAAAAACAAAACACATCAAATGAATTTTAGTTACCTCAAGACCTACAAGTAAGGCGCGCTGGCTAAATTAACGGTTCGTGTGTTGGAATAACGATCGAGTGGTCCGGGTTCGAGCCCTTCAGTGGGAACGACAGTTTGCAAGAGCAATGCACCTTTATTTGTCCCTGATTCAGGAAGCACGAATTCAAACCAGCTAATATTTATACAACATGCTAGGGGAACAAAATTTAACCCGCAACGAACTTCGTCGCAAAAAAAAAAAGGTATGTTACCAAAGGAAAACTGAAGCTACAACCTGTCCCCGCTTCATGTCCCCTCAACAAATTGTCCCCTAGTGTGTGACGACCTTTAGTTAGGGAATTTAAGTAACAACGATGGCGACGCCGAGGACAATGTCGATTAAAAAATTAATTTATATTTTACCTACAAATCTCGCTGCACTCTTAAGTCATTTAATTTGTTTCTCATTGTCAAAATATCAAGACACTGAATCTAGGACACAGCGATAAATTTGAAATAAAAAATTTAAAAACTTAGCCGTCGTGGTTCGTTTGCCAGACAACACAGAATTTGGTCATTTCTCGTTGTTGTTTTGCAGAGGACGACAAAGAAATGTACCAAGAATTATAACGCACGTGCACAGCGATTGTTCTGCTCATTAAATCTTTTGTTTAGCGACGTGCCCGTTGTTATTGCCGTCGTGGTTTGCTTAAACTCCCTACTCCCAGTGATAGTTATATATGTTGTAATGATGTTACCAGCGCTCTCCAACCTTGACCAAGGACAAGCCTTCAAACGCAGTAAGCCTATCACATGCAATGCCACACAAGCTATACAGGCCTCACCCCAGTCTACAAATCTCGGTGGCGGTCGGTAGATCGTTGCCACACTGTAACACGGCCCAGGCTACGCTCCTCCGCACGTCACCATTGCCTGAGCGAAGTAACTCCACTAAACGCGGGAGACCGCCTTCTGTTCGAAACTGTTGAAAAAGAAAACCTCTTTTAAGTCTTAAGTTTTCAGTTGCCATTCTTTTTCTTTCCCTATCTGGTAGAACAGCCCTCGGAAAATGACATAAATCCATTTGGAAGGGATGGTTGCTAATGATGATGAGGGTGAAAATGTATTGTAATACGGAGAGCCTCAGTCGAAAACATGAGGAGTGGCTCACGTTCTCAAGCTTGGCCTGGATTCGGATTCCTTTGAAATGTTATTCCAATATGGAATGGCTTTCAATCTTTAAGTTAGCGTACGTTCCTAATGTTTTTATTCCGCAATTTATGCATTTCTACGAACAAATAACCACCCACGCTCCTTGATAGTTTATACCTCGTTTCTTGACTCTGCATCACAAACAAAAGCCGCGACCGCTATTCCAGCTTTACTCTGTACAACAGAGGCACTGAAATGTATGTAAACAGTAACGAGTTAGCTTTTTATATGCAGTAATTCTTCAATAAGCGAAAATATTTGACATTCTTTTGCTACAAATGAACCCTAGTTCATCCTTACTTGGATTGGAGAGCTTGTACAAGGGCGGGAACAATCCCTTTTTGCTGTATTTCCGATCTCCAAGACTCTAAAATCAACGAACACAAAATTTCATTACTACAACACAGCAGTAGCTGGCGACACTATAGGAAATTACATCTGGCCAATCAAAACAAAGGTAAGTAACGAGATAAACCAATCAAAACTCCAAAAAAGACATGCACCTGGTGCGGGAAAACATACAATCAGCTCCAAAGGCGGGAAAAATACAATTAGTAACAAGCGCGGGAAACGTGCAACCGGCGTCAAGAGCGCCAAATAGGTGCATCTAATGCCAAGCGCGGGACAAAATGTGCGTAGGCCAAGTCATGTTTAAACTTGCTTTGGACAGGAAAACGGCAAGAGTTCTAATTAAGAGCAAAATAAGCTGATCTAATGTCTGGGGTAAGGTGATTACCTTCTGTAGCCAGGTTAGTGAGACACACCGCAGCATTGGCTTGAACCAGCGGTTTGACATCATTCAAGAGCGCGATCAGCGAATCAACACCAGCTTTGTCTACTACTTCACTATAAACACATCAAAAGTCATTAACAAAAAAAGCATACATGTATGATTACAACAAGGAGATATTTCCCACACGCACTTTTTTTATCGCCAAGAAATTCAAAAAACTAATTAGTATTTCCTCCAATTAAGAAACAGAGACTTAAGGTACTAGCTTACTAAATAGATTCTGAAATCTAATTCTTAAAGCAAGACCACTTTGCAAAACGTTTCTTTAAAATTTCAAATATAGACCTGACGGTTTCTTTTTCACATTAATTTTACTCGTTAGTCATCCTCACTTGCTAATACTTTCCTGTCATTTACTGTGTAGTTGCACATTCAACAAAGACGATTTAAATTTCGATTCTCTCACCCGCAGTTTGTGTCGTTCGAAGTCGTAATGTTTGCTAGTGCCAGGGTTGCTCCTTCTCTCACGTCAGGGTTGTCGCTACCAAGAAGATTAATTAATGGCGGAATACCCTCTGCAAAAGAGCAGAAAAATTTCTAGCGCCTTAACATGATTTAGTTTACAGCGTTCGGATTATCTCTGAGTGCGTCGCTTTCTCCGTGTAGTAATTAAATTCTCGGCTATTCTTCACAGCAAAATCACAGTGCAAGCTTCTGTTAGGTGGCAACCCAAAAGAGATTATTTTTACAAAACTGATTTATGATATCTTTATGCCGTTTCTCGCTTTTATAAACAATCAAAACCCGAGATAGTCGGGAAGGCGGAGAGTCGAAGAACATTACTTACAAAAATTTTCGGACGTTTAAGTTTTGGACACGCTTTATCTCATCGGACAACAATTTCTGACACTTTGCTAAAACATAGCGAAAGTACATTTACGCCTACAAAACACAAATGAGACTGAAAAAGATAGTTCTACTGCACCCTCAAGGTTTTACGAATACACCGACGAGAAAATAACACAAATTCTATCAAGCCACGTAAAGCAGTGTCTCGACTAGAGTTCGCTCTAGAAAACCCGACATATCGGAAACTCAGAGCTTTGGACCTACTTCAAAAAGACGCTTAAAAATTTCGGACGGTTTTATTTTCGGAAACTTTTTTGGTCCGAAATTAAAAGTCTTAAAATCCTCTGAAATTTTTTGCAAGTATTGTACTCACGTTACGATAAATTGCCCACGCTTTTCTTTGGCAAGTACATTCTGTAAAGTTGTTGACAATTTGTTTGGCTGAAAAGTTGAAGTCTGTTATATAGCAAATTGGACGATCTTAAAATGCTGAATACCCTTACAATACCCTTCTTCATTGTTAAATGCGACAAAGTTCTTACCCAGTTTTCCAACCACGTCTCTGCTACTCAGGTTCTCGGACATAACAGCCAGGGCTAAAGATGCTGAGGACTGGACACCAGGATTCTAGGACAAAAAGGAAAGCATACAAAACTTCTTAACTGCGTTTTGCCAAAAACACACCGCACCGCACCAAGATGGTGTAGTTGTACATACCCCAAAAATATTCACTCTAATTTACTTTAAATGTGTCATTGAATTTATGAACCAACTCGTGCCGTAAACTTGTATCATCTCTAAAATTCCAGCAGTATACCAATACGAGCTATAGTGTTTGACTACGCAAAAACTATGGGGCGCCGTTTGTAAATTTATTATTTAGACCGAATTTATGCCATTTCCCCCTTATTTATAAATAATTGGAAATGCTACAAAATTTGTTTATAAATAAGACTCAAGAACTTGTCCGTTGATATGTAAATAATTATTTTAGGTACCTTCTGATTTATAAATAATCTTTTACTATAGAGTTATTATATATAAATAATAAACTAAACAACTTCAATTATTTATAAATCAGGTCATCTCTAAAATAGTTTTTTACATATCATAAAGTTTGTAAATCCCATTATTTATAAATAAATTACTTCGCCGGGAGTGTAAATTCATTATTTAGAAATA